ATACATATTCACTCTCTTACCTGTAGTGCTAATTATGAACTAGATGTGTGGTGTGAGTTGTCGAGTGATGGAGATATTGGAGAAGCTACTGTAACTCACCCGGCGTTACTCAGCGAATTAATACAAGAACTCAGACATGGGGGACGGCATTTACATATTTACATCTGTACAGCGCTTTTTCAGTCTTTTTGACCCCTCAAAGTACTTTTACATTCACACACATTCATACAGAGGCAGGGGCTGCCATACACCTGGGACGCTAACATTCACACACATTGGCCATCGGGAGCAATTTGGGGTTAAGTGTATCCCCCAAGGACACAAAGCCATGTTGACTACAGCGCCAGGGGATCAGACCACTGGAGGATGACAGTCTTCAGACCCATGTGTAGATGCATGCTTACTTCTTTGTATTGTTCTTTCACAGGATCTGTGGATAATCTTGAGACATTGCTGTTGAGAGTTTTCTCATGTATATGTTTGCCATTCTATAGCACCACAGGCAGAGAGTAATGCAGTAACATTACAGAGAAGGCTGACACCTCTAGGGCTGATATCTCCTACACGCTGCCGGTCTTTCCAAATACATTGATAAATAGTGCTACAGATAAGAGGGAAAATGTGTATGAATGTGTCTCTATAAGGATCCCTGAAATGTTTCCAGGAAATATATCAAAATACCTTTATTCTTCCCACAGAGGGGAAATGATATGTTTTAATGCAACACTTTTGCATTCATGTGAATTCAGCTCTGAGGAATATAATGTGTTTGCAGACCTGAGTTTACCTCTCTCTGTCCCCCAACCAGATAACATTAATATTCTCCGATAGGAAACACAACTGACCTTCTGCATGCACAGCAGCCTGAATGCAACCATTCTTTTTATCCCTTGCATGAGCATGAAAATACATAGTAACATGGAAGGGTGATACAGGGAACATTGAGCCCAGTTTGAGCCTCTCCCTTATTAGCATGTATTCAGCTTATCATAACTAAATGGAAAACATATTTAATCTGCGATGTTTGAAAAACCCAGAGGCTCATTCCAAAACACACAGAAACTATTTATGAAACCTATTTGGATACTTCTTGTTTCCGCGGTTTTTCCCCCCGCATTGAAAACACATTTTAGGGATATTTTTGTAGATAAGAAAGACAATGTTTAACTGTATATGAAAGCAAAATAGAATAAAAACATTAAATGATTTACAATAAGGTAACAAAACATGCAAAGAAATAACATAAAAGTAATTTGGGTAAAGGCATGAATTAACACAGTCTCACAGATTGAAAAGCTTTTTTAAAAAGCAATTGTTTTAACATTTACCTGCGTTTGTTGTTTTGAAACATAAAAGTGACGATTTACTTTTTACCCCTTTTTATGTACAGCTCTGCAAAACCAATTTTACGATTGACAACTAGATTTTTGTCTACTGTGTTGATTTAAAAAAAACACACACTTTCCAGTAGAAATGTGAAGTAACAGAAAATAATATAACTTCAATCATCTTGTCATGTAGAAGATTTTGCTGTTATTTTTTTATTTAAATACGTGACCAATTCAAGTATACAAAGGATGGGATAAACATAAAAAGAGAAACATTTAGTAACACAAAATACTAGGAATTATTATATATAGAAAGTAACATTATATTAGGAGAGCAGTCTCACAGTTGTAATAACTTTTTTTCCAAAGTTATTGTCTTAATATATTCATTTATTGATTGAAAGTGAGGATTTACTTTAGTAAATGTACATTTATGCATGTAAAACTTAAGAACTTAAGTCTATACATTTTATTACTGTGTTGCAGGCACGTGCACACCAGAGTTCCCGTTAGAATATTTTTTTGCCGGTCAACATGTCCGTTAAAGTTGAAATCTTCCGGACAAAATTAGATAAGTGCCGGTTAAAGGTCTTCTTTGTTATTTATTGAGCTTTAAAACAAATTGATATGATTCGACATTAAACAAACTAATTATAGTAGATTAACTACATTATTCAAAAGTGTACAGTAATTTACAAAAACGCGGGAATAATAAACGGAGCGCTCTCTCCTTCTCCTGACAGCCCGTCAGTATCATGCAGCTCGCGGATCCAGTAATGAGTGACCCGACAGTAAAACTAAACATATCTATAACTAGTTTAGGTAGTTTGAGAGGTAATTAAAATAGCTACGTGTGATTTTCTAACCTGAAGTGTGTTTTGCTCTGCTCGCCGCTGCAGGGGATCATGCAGAGCTGCGTGTCGACTCGTCAGCAGCAGCCGATCTCTCTCTCCTGTCAGATTAGACTTTACTCGCATTTATGTCCATATCGATCAGATCTAGCTAGTTCTAGCTAATGATATGACTACCTGCTTGTTAAAAGACACCTAAACAATAAGCGTCGCTATGCAACCGGATGAGGCCACAAAGTATAGCGCAGCATTATGCATTTGTTTACATGCCCACCGGAACCCCGAGGCATTACCAACAGATCAACGCACAATCAACCCATACAGGACATCTCTTTCTCCACATTAAGTGTTAGACATTAGAATTGACAATTTTTGTCTGTCACATACTCTTTTGTCTGTCACATACTATTCTTGTCTGTCACATAAGTGGCGCAACTGATGCGGTATTGCGCTAAGGGAAAATTATTTTGACCGGACATTTTGACCGGAGAGATTTAGATTTGCCGGACTTCAGCATATTTTACCGGTCATTGTCCGGTAATTACCGGCTAACGGGAACTCTGGTGCACACATAAGGCGCGTTCACACCAAGTACTTTGCCGTATTTAGTACAGGTGTTGTGTCAAATTATGCACCCCCATCATGAAATGTCCCCCTTGTCACGGGAACGCGCATTTCTAAATGACACGTTTACATCTTAAAACGATGTTTAAGGCGCCGTTTACACGAGGAGAAAACTGCTTGTATCTGCATAGTTTCGCGTGCGTATAGCCCTATTATTTACACGAGGCCGATAGAAACTGACCCCACAAACGATAACGGGTCCCAAGGTGGATAGATTTGCAAACGAAACGCTCTGGGGGGTCAACCGAGTCCGTGTAATCGCCTCTATACGAATATTTCCTGAAAAAATAGCGATAGCCCCACCTCTCCCCACCTCTCCTGCTCACTGCTGTAGCAACTATCAAAAAGAACTGTGTTAATTAAACGCACAAGGGGTTCTTGAATGAAATAATATTATAAAAGGCAAACCAGAATTGTTAACGCCCAATATACTCCTTAAACAAAATAAACAGAGTCAGATTTCATGCATTGATCCATTATATTGACAAAGGTGCGATCTCACCCGGTGTTTGTAGAGAATATCTCTCTTTCTGAGCCGTCCTCTCCACGGAGACGTGCTTCTTGGTCGGTCGATGCAATATCCACAGATTCGGTTAACTTCCCCGTTGCATTTATCCATATGCTGAGGAAATGACTATATCCCGCTGAATACCAGCAATCGCCACACACACTTCCTCCTGTCAGTAGCTACTGCTAGTGCTACTGCTACTGACCATGCTACAGATATTAGTGCAAAATCTACAGCTCCTCTACCACAACCATCAGCAACAAGTGGACATGGAGAATTACATGAACTACATGTTGCTAAATCCACCGCGGGGCATAAACAGAAGGGTAGCCATGGCAACATTGCGGCGGGGCTGCTCGGGCTGCTCTTCTTCTTCGGTGTATTTTGGCGGAAGTTACAGCGCCACTTACAGTCCCGGCATATGTACTACAGCGTTTCCAGCGGCCTCGTTTGAACAGACACGTTAAATGAAACTAATGCATGTGAACGGAAGACTTTTTTGAATACGCATACTGTGCATAAACGCAAACGGTCCTGTGTGAGCGGGGCCTAAAACGAAAAGTAAACGTTCAGGGTTTTTATTAATGGTAATTTTCAGACTGTGAGTTGTTTAGTGGTAGCTCATATAGTCTTGATTCTTGTGGTTAAACTTTTCGCTCCGTATTTGATGGTAGTGGTGTCGAAATTCATTCGTCACTTCCTTTTCAGTTTTTTTTTTTTTTAATCTTTTTTTTTTAAATTATTGTTACGTCCTGTCTGTATTCACGTGCTTTAAAATGTATTGTTTAATTTTACATATTTGTCATATAATAATCAAAATATATGTTTACAAATGTTACATAGTCTTTGTCAGCATATCTTTGCCACATTATGCACCCCTTGCTATCTTACATAATAAAAGGGTCACATTCATGAAACTTGCTCCATTCATTGGTACTAGTCCTACAACTATACCCTGAAACATGCTTGAGGGTGGGATTAATATAAACATCTTTTGGGGGGGGGGGTGCATTTTATGACAGTCATCGGCAGTCACTTCAGACAGACAGGAAGCAGCACCTCCCACCTCACAGTCCCATGTTATGCCGGCTTTTCTTGGCTTGTTTGAAGGTGAGTGGTGATGAACAAATGACTAAACTGCCAGTGCCTCTAGTTTACAGAGCTTAGCCAAAAGCCAAAAAACAAATAGTTAACTAAGGTGGTGGCTAATGGATAAGTTAGCTCAAGGTTTAGCTATGGCAATTTATCATGGGCGTAGGCTAATGTACTGTACTTAAGGGGAGAGACTACAGGTGAATACAGTAAAATGTGTATCTAATATTGCAAATTAGGCGTTACATATAGCCTAATTAAATTGCGCCAATTATGTTGAGTATTAAACTCAATGCGTGAGTGTGAGGGTATTAAAATAAATGTGTCAGTAAGTCTTTTATCAATTATTATGGGAAGTGCCCTGTTTCCTCACTTGAGCTCCTGCCCCCCAAAATGTCTGTGCACGTCCCTGCTGTGTTGAACATTAAAAAAACAGGAAATATTGTATCTACACCACTCATCTTTCCATGTAAAAGCAGAAGTCAGGAAACCAGCAGCGGTCACATGACGCATGCGTGGGCGGGGCTCTGCGTCTGCACCGACCAATAGGATCGCAGCTTTGCTCCAGGTCCCAGCCAGCTCCATGGGGGGAAAAAACCCGAGAGAGGAGACGAATAACGGTACACACTCCAATATTTATGGAGCCGATGCCCGCATATAAGTGCACCACATCCACTCTCCCGGTGCATACGTGAATACATGCGTTTGGAGACGGAAGCGGGGGACGGCGTTTCGGGGAGACGAACACAAGCGGTCCACCATTGTCTGCGTAGAAATAAGAATGGCCTGGATGTGGAAGGTAAGAGGGGCTTTCTCTCATATTTACACCCCCCAAAAAATGGAAATTAAGGAAAAAAGCGTGAAACCATCTTCTGACGTGGTGGTCGTTACGTTAGTGTGCGTTTCAGCAGATGTTGTGTTAAATATGAGCTCATGGTGGTGATGCTGCGTGGAGGTTATTTAATCTCTTCTGCTTTCTGTCTGGTGGTCGCCTGTTTCTTTTATTTGGGGTGGGGGAGTCTGAATTTGTGATTTTCGCTCGTGCATATGAAGGGTAGCAAGGCCATAGTGTTTGTTTTTATCTTTTTATTGCGTTTAGTCCATGTCTGTGTGTCATTTCTGGTGATACAAATCAGGCAGATGCAGGCCATGCAGCCAGCTGTGTTCACAACATGACACGTTCAGGTGTTCACATGATGAGTGAGGAGTTTACAACCTCCACTGTGGCCTTCACAGATGAGGAGAAAGTTGACAAAAAGTTCCTCAGTGACTGTCCTCTTCTCTGTTTCACCCTTTTACTTTAACTTTTAATCAGGAAATGTCCCTTATTTACAGATGTTGATATGAACAACACTGTAAGAGCTGAATATGTTGTTGGTGATATGTGACGTATAAACATTGTGTTCTTCAAGTATATATTGTTTTCTGTATCTTTAAAAGGCTGAAAACATTGAATGACACTTTCCCTTGCTAAGTGACCTAAAAAATAAACAAGTTGGCAAGGCATTTTTTGTTTCTCGCCTCACTGTTTTGACCATAACATGTCAGATATAAATAGTACATAATGAAATAGTTTTTTGCTAATAATTCAGTTTTCTTTTACTCAAACTCAGATAATTTGTTGTTTAAGTTATATCATAAGCCAAACATTTACAAAATCACATAAAACAAACTTTTCAAAGTGAGAGATTGTGTTCCAGTTGTCCATGAACAAACTTGTCACGTCTACAACAGCACTTTATCTTGGTAAAAGCAAATATTTAGTCCCAAACATTGTAGAGTGCTATCTTAAACTGTTATTGATCTCTCTTTACTGTGGAGGTAATTAAGACAGTGAAAGATGAATGTGTTTATTTCTGTTAGACTTTGTGTGATAGTAAACACAGTCTTAGTTTGGTGTTGTCGGACTTCATGTTGTTTTCTTATTTGTATTTGGCCAAAGTTAGGAGTTTCTTATTCATCTGATTCAATGCTCCCACACCCACTGGAAAAACACATTTTAGTCAAAAAAAATTTCCTTTTACAAACTTCCTTACTGTTTTTGTTATCTGAGCCATGAGATAATTTCACACTAGATTACACACTGTAATATTATATTATATTGACAAACTTAGAACATGTAATTACGTGGTACGTAATTGAAAGAAGTGGGACACAAAGTAAATGTAACTTTAAATGAAAGGACGCCAGTTTGCTTGTTATTCTCATGGCTATTAGGTACATAAATAAGTAAAGATAGTCAGACTCAAAAGCCCATTTATGTCCTTCATTAGGCTACTGGAAAGTGCTGCTGACATCACGGCACGCTTGCAGTTATACACTTTACTCTTTCCTTGCTCTATAGTTAACATCTCAACTAGATCCAGCCAACTTGTTGCATGCAGTGAGACAGAGAAGACATACGAGTACGAGTAAAATGGCATCTTTCTGCTGTTAGATGCTTGTTTATGAAACAAACAGTAGACTTCTGTTTGATTGTTTTTGCAAGTAACTGTTGTGGATGAATGGATAAAGTGATGATGGATGGCTGAATTGATAATCTTATGCATTTTATGATTCAAACAATTGAAGACGATGCAGGAAATGTGCTGAGTTATGGGATTTATGTTTGTTTTCAGGATTAATTGAAGGATCTTTACAGTCTTCTAATCGCTCAACACTAATCTGATGTTTTAATCTGACACGAGTGTTCAGTGGAGCAGAAGTATTAGTGATGTTTTAATCCCAAAGTCGTCCTGATTGTTTAGCAAAGTCGGTTTCCTTTGTGCTTTGTCACATTTTCTTTCATATACGAACCACATTTTCTACCCCAGCAAAGCGTAGAAACTTTTTTGCGATATTTTATCTTTCCATCCTTATTTAAGCATTTCCACACACTTAAACAGGTGGGTGGTAATCCACTTATTTTTCAATTGAAAAACTCCTTAAAACTTTACTCAAAATGTGGTGATTCCAGATTGTTCCATGTTGGAAAATACTTTATATACAAAAAAATTGCAGTACAAAAATCCCAAATACGCACTTGTGGTACTTGAGGTGCCCGTTTTAAGGGTCATGACATAAATGTTGTGCTAGAAAAGAAGAAGAATATAAATTCTGCTTCACACAAATATTATTTATAGTTTTGCACTTTTTCTATTTTTTTTTTAATTGAAGAATTTGATCTCTTTCTGATTCTGAGTATTTAAATTAAACAATATCAGAAATGTTTTTGGGGGCAAACAAGCCTCTGGTTTTATCTTGAATAAATTCCATTTCATTCACTTATACATTTCTGTAACGAGTGACTATATCTGTCAAACACATGTAGTGGACTAAGAGTCCTTCTGAAATGCACGTTCCTCAAAAGTGTACTTAAGTAGAGCACAAAGTTCTCCACTACTTTTCATCTCTGTGCATGATGCATTGCTTTAACCAGAGAGAGCTGTGTGACTATCGCTCTGATACTTAGTTCATGTGTTGAGCGAGGCCTGCAGGAAAGCTCTCCCCTCTTTGTTAGCTGGTGTTTAATTGGAGTGAGTTCATCCGTGAAGCGCTGAGCTGGAGCTGGGAAAGGCTGAGGCTGTTGTCCTCCATCATAACAGTTCAGGGTGAGCTCTACATCGCGTCTCAACTACATTTGGCAGAACAAGGGCCAGAAAAGCATGTTTTTGTGACGGGTTCATGCGGGTACACGCAAGCAGAAGGCACACAAAGAAGACCTCAAATTAATTAATGCACACACACACAGAAACACACATTCGGTTGTGTGTGTCGAGGTGTTGTAACAGCTAGGGGAATGCACTGAGTGTCCCAGTTCTTCACAGTTTCGGGGATGAATGGCACTTCTCTGAGTCCCTCTTGTCCCGTGTGGGTTACAGCAGAAGGCAGACTGATAAAAAGGATGTTGAATGAGGCTCTGGGTTATATTGAAAGTGTTATCAAATCCGTGCTCAGATTTCCCTTTGTGCCATTCTCTCTTTTTATCTGTTTTCCTTCGTGAGTGTGAAGTTTACATGAGATCTTCCGTTAGTATAAAAGTTCTGGCTGCATAGGGTCCACAAGGAAAACCTGGTTCCTTTTTTAATGCTACAGTTCATACAGATACATTATTATAAGTTTAATAGATCCCTTCATACAATAATCCTACTGTTAACTATTTAAAAAGTTTCTTTACAGCAAAGGTTTCGTTTTAAACATAAGTATATTACATATGAAATCATAATGGCAAGTTTTTTGTAATATGTTTACATATTTATTATTTTGCCTTGAGTTTTCCCTCACCTGAATCAACAACCTATAGATGACATGCACTCCTTAATGTTGACTATTGTAAAAGGAAGTCATAACATAACGTCATTGGTTTGCATCAGGTTCCAAATGCAGTGCATGGGTAGCTAATTCAAGCACATTACACATGTTGTGATTACAGGGTCAGCAGTTTTTGTAACTAGCTTGAACTCGTTCAAGTTGTATAATTGCCGGCTGCAATGTTCTAGTAAAAGTTTCCACACATCCAAAAAAGGTTTAATACAGTTTAAAACAAATTGGGAATATGTGCCTGATCGCTGCAGTATTATAGTCCTTTATATTTCCTCAAAAATTTAAATTTCAAGTTTGACTTTGTGAACCTTCCCCTCACAGAATGACCTTAAAGAAAGTCTTAGTTTTGCTGCTTCGCTGTTTGCCGTCCATTCTCTTAAAAACCCCGTTTGAGGCGAGAGGGGACCATTTAAACATGTGGCTTCTTTATTATGGTAATGTAACCTACATCTGTTGTGCAAACACACACGCACACACACTGCTGCAGAAAACGCTAGTGCAAAGGTTAGCGTATTCACAGTGGTAACCCAGGGTGATAACCTCGCTCCTGATCTGGCATTAATCCAGCGGCTGCAGCAACTGGGCCAGCGGAGCCGCCGCTCACCACAAATCTTATCAACATCTGTGAAGACTTAGGCTTTAAGCCACTTGATCCCACTACGCCTCGCTGGTCATGTTAGTCAGGTAGCTTCTAATCCTGGATCATTTAATCATCTCTCCAGGTGCTGCCAGCGCTGGTCTTTTCCTCCGCTGTTTTCTTTGGTCTTCTTTTACCGAAATTACAAAGAAAAGACACCCAAAGTTTAATGAAAGAGCTGATATAGCAGCCTATAAATTATCTTCCACTCTGTAATTAAGTCTCAGTCAGCAGCATGAAATGACATGTCATTCACAAAGAGCCTCGGGGCCTGAACCTCCATTATTGCTGTACAGGCATTCTCAAAGGAGCCTGTTCAAAGCTTAAATGTCGAGGGTTGACGTTTTATACTTTGATGAACCTAAATCAAGAGGACAAAGCCAATATTCATGAGGTAAAAGGATTATCTGCAGTTATTAATCTGCCGTTGCTCTTCCAGGGATAAAGCAAAGTGCACACGGTGTAATCAATACAGTAGAAGATTTACCTGCAATTTCATTGAAAAAGTCCAGACTGCTTAGCCTTTATTGACTTGAGAACAATTCCAGGCTTTACCTACAATACTCTTAAAGATTTAGACTTCATTGTGTTTGGAAAAAAACGATGACGTAGGTGGATTTTGGAACCAGATGGGAACGTGCATTATGCCTATGCTGATTTGCTTCTTAGTTAATCTGTTGATTCAGCAGTATTTTTCTTTCCCGAGGAATTTAATCGCAAATATTTGAACTAGATTTCATTAATCCTTATTCCAGATACTCCTAGGTTCAAGGTTCAAGGTTCTCTATTGTCAAACTAACATAGCTACAGAGTCATTATGTCGTTGAAAATCTTAGGTCACAGGCTTCTCCAACAATGCA